GGTGTTTTGTTTGAAAGAACATGTGGCCAACTTTTTAAGGTAGTTCGGGCACTGACTTCCCTGGAAGACAGGTGGATGAAATTGATACCATGTGATAAAGGAGACTGCCAGAATCGGTGGATGAAATATCAAAAAGCTGGTCTGCACGGTTTCGGAGATATTAAGAGATAAAAATTAACACGGGCTCTTACGGGAAAACGTGTTTGGAGCCATTTGTGATCAGTTATATGTTGATTACTCGGACATAATGGTAATCAACTCGGCGATGAAGGGCTCAATGTGTGCAGTAATGCTTCAGGATCACGTAGAGTGTGGTTTCATTGTCCGTTTGTGCAAATTTCAAAAGAAATCTCGTTTTAAACAAGTCCATGCGACAGCTACACGGCCGGGGCCCCCCGCAGAGCGGCAACGCCGCCCCCAGCAGGGAGCCCCACCGTGCCCCCACCCACCCCACCTCCCCTCCCGCCTCGCTTTCAAACGTAGGTAGTGATGCAGTTCCCCGATCAAAAAGCTTTTTTTTCTGCTACGTTTTGTGCACTTTTTTCACTTTGCATGCCATGGGTAAGACTAATTCTCCTCAAAACCATATGTGTGCATGGACTGGAAAAACAAATGTGCTATAAGTTCTCTTTTAAAACGTACTAAAAGTTTATTTCATTGCTCGCGCTGGTTGAAAAGTAAAAGGTCTTTGTGTAAACTATAGGCAAAATTTTATTGGACACATTTTCCACTTGGATCTGTCCCAGAACTTAATTAATACTTCTAAGTATCAAGATTGGGGTGCTGGAAAAGGTACACAGAGTAAAAGGAAATATTTTAAATATCACTACCTTTTACTCTTTAAAATGATTGAATTTTACTGATGTATACATGTATAGTTGTTAAGTCAGTCGAAGCCCATGTTGTCTGTTTTAAATATAAAATGCAATCGTGGAAAGTAACGGGAAAGTTTTAAGGAAAACATCTGGTCTTGGGTATGTGCCTGAGCCTATTTAATACCTTTGAGTATCAAAACTTGTGTGTTGAAAAAGGAACATTGAGTAAACAGGAAACATTTTCAATATCACTAGCTTGTACTCTTTTAAAATGACTGAATTATCCTCATGTGTAAACATATATACCCTTTTTAGTCATTTGAAGCCTATGTTATCTGTTTCAAATTGAAATTGCAATCGTGTGAAGTAACGGGGAAGTTTTAAGGAAAACATGTGGACTGGGGTATGTTGTACAATTAATGTAATGACTCTCCGTATCTTTCTGCAAAAAAAATAATTTAAATCAAAACTATTCAGTATCATTATAAAAATTCTTGTGACTTAAAATACTATTCTGAATAATGGCACAAAATACATGCTTGACTGCAATTGGACGGAATATATTAACAACACTATTTAATTGAATTCTATAAATTCAATTGGTAACTTTTAAGGATGAAATAAGTAAAATAAATATCACAGATTATGAGTAAGCTGACGGTATGACAACTCTTGTCCATCTGACAAAAATTCTAATACTAGATCAGGTGATGATGCTCTTTCTTCAGTGTGGGGAGCTGGAAGGTTTGGTTGAGGCAAAGGAGCAGGCACTGCTTGTACCTGTACCAGTACCTCTTTATGAGAAGCATTGAAGAAACCATATAATTTGTCTACAGTTGTGCCCATAACTCTAGCTGGCAAAAGTAACTGTTTCAACTCTTCTTTTGAAATTGTAGAGGCCTTCTGCAGACAGGCTACTGTAATGTTAGACAATATAATCTTTTTAACAATTTCTTTGCCAACTGGGAAGTTTTCTTGAGATACATTTGTTTTGCAATCACTGAAAAATTGGCTACATTTATTATTTAAGATTTCGTCTGCTTTGTACTTTTCCATTAAATTGTGGGCATCTGTCGATGAAGTAATGATTAGCTCATCAGATATTTCCATTTTTTTGATTATCAGTCCAAGCATCTCGGTATCACTGAGTGCATCATGCCCATCAACATATTTTATACCTAATGATGTGGTTAGCACCTCTATACTATTTTTTTCAGTCTTTGGTCTCATGTTTCTAATTATCTTAAGTGAGCAAGCCATACCCTTCACTACTGCTAGAAATTTATCCTCCAAATTACACTCACATAGTGCTTTGTGTAGTTTTGGTCCATCAAATGCTAAATTGTGGGAACATAAATAAACTATTTTCTGAAGTGAGGTCAGGTAATGTACAAACTTCTCCATAGCAGCTTGCAGAGAAACAGTAGGCACAAGCAGTGTACCTTTGTACAGTTGCCCTCCAGAGGTTGAGAGTTTAGTAATTGAAGTTACATCAGAAGGGATAGGCCCCTTTGGCTTGATGTAACAACTGAAATTACAACTTCCACACTTAGCACCAATTTGCAAGATTTCCCCCTTGAAACCACTTGTCTCTAAATCAAATAGAACTACTCTTTTCATTTCCTCCCCCCCTTCCCCACTTTCTAGTCCTTCTGAAGCAATATTTTCTTCAGGTATATCTGGCAATAAGCCAATACCATCCTCCTCAAACAGTCCCATTTGTGACTCATAGGTAGTGCCCTCTTTTTTTTCTGTTGCATTCTTTAAAAGAGTCCGCCTCCTAGTAGTGTCAATTCTTTTCTTTTTAGTTTCTGGAAGCTTGTAAAGCTGCTGTCTATAGCTGGTATTTTTATCAACATTCTGTATATATTTTTTATGATAGGGGCTGCCAGGACTGAGGTTACTTTCTAATAATGATTTCTGACAGTATGACTCACCCAAATTTTTCTTTCCAACAACCGCACTTAAACGGAAATCAGCTGACTCTGACATGCTGTAACAGTTAGACTTAGGTGCCTTCCTGGCCATCATGGAGTTTAAACTTTCATTTACGTTACTTGAAGCACCAGCAGAAAATTTAGTAGCATTATTAGCTAATTTATTAAAAACATCTATTAAGTCATTTTTGAGGTTTGGGTCAGTGAATCCACCTGGTATTACTGAATGGTCATAATTTTCAGGATCTTTTTTATAACCAAACCAGTTACCACAAATAGTATTAACATTAAAGGCATGTAGGGGTATAGCCCTTAATGCAACTCCCATAGCAACACTATCCCCTTTGTTCTGTGATAAAGCATAAGTGAAACACCTGTGGAGGTACCTGATAGCATCAGGAAACAATTCACTGTGAGCCTTTTGCATGCCAAATAAAGTTTTACTTACTCCCCTTGCAGTGTGGTTCTTATCACTTTGCTTAACTATTTCATGGTCTGCTGCTGATCTGCAAGCTGCTATAGAGGAGCTATCATCATCCATTACTAAAACTCCTACCTGTAAATTTTGGCTTTTTAAAATATCACTATTTGTTACTAGTTTTTTAGCTGTGTGGGCCTCCATACCCTTAGCACTACCATAATAATTCACCCTACAATCATGTTCAGACTGAGGACTGCCCATATCACATGCCTTACATTTCCTGTTGCACTGATTATAATCCAAAACTTTACCAGTAAAATAACCACAAAGCCACCCATATCCATTTAAGCTATCATAATTATTTCCTGATCCCCTTTTACTCCATCCCATGTCGTACGATACCATTATTCTAACTACTAAGTCAAATGTTACTGGACAGTCCTCAGCAAGTTCCTCCAACACGATGAAACTATCTTTCAGATGGTCAGGCCTGCAAATGATAGATAAAAACATGCAATGATTATTAAAGAATACGATAGCATTTGGTTCTATGTATTTGTTTTATTTATGAAAACAATACAGCATGAAACCAAGGAATTAATTTAAAAAAATAATAAAACAATCAAAACAACAATGTTGCGTGCAACAAATCACTAGAGCATACTAAATATGTCAACTTTACTATCACAGTTCGGACGTTCAACATAAAAAGATGTTATTGTGGTGACTAGATAAACTAAATTATTATATTGGAAAAAATATCACAGTGCCATCACCACTGGTCTGAAGTTGACTTAGTTTGCAGTTTACGGTTTAGTACGGTCTTTGCATCACCACAGTTTTCTGAACTGGCATGACATAATCAATGCTCTAACTGAATTATTGTTGCCAACAAAGTTAAATGATTATCTTACAGAATTTGCTCGATCATGGTCTTGTTCCGGATGGTGAGCTCCCTCTCCTCCCTTGCAGCTTCCTCGCAACTCTGCTTGGCAACCTTCTCGAGACTAGGCCCAACCTCCTTGCGCTCATATCTCTTGAAGGTTTTGCGATCCATGTTAGGCATGTTCAGAGTGGAAATCAGAGCATTGAAATGTGCATAAGAGCACCCAGCAGAAGTCACACCTGTAAACAGAAAATGCCAACAGAAAACCATTAGATAACAACTTGGTTTGGGACGAGTAGAGGTTATGTTCCCCACTGTTCACACGTGATTACTCACCCATGACGGCCTTAGCATTCACATCGAAGAGCGAAGCTCGCTCACCGGCACCTGCATGCATCTTTCCAGAGGTTACGATATTAATGACAGAACATTTATGGCAACGAATCCACCAAATACAACCCAGGCCTCGGCGTTCCTCTTTCTCCGTGTACTGCCCGTTGAGGGCTTCCTTGCATTTGCAGCACCACATTTGTTTGAAATTCTCCCACGGTTCAAAGATTCGCCGTCCTCTCACTACGAACTCCTTTTCACTTGCATCCTCGACCTCGTCCACGTCCTCCTCGTCCTCGATAATGTTTTCTTGTTCCTCGCATGATCTTTTAGGTGTTTTAGGCGTCGGAACATCTTCCCACTCTTCGCAGGTGCTTAGGCTTCTCTTCGAGGCTTCTTTTGGCGTCGACGTCTTGACTGTCGGAACTCTTCCTTTCTCGAGATTTGCGAGCCGTATCTGATGAGCATCATACTTCTCTTTTGTACACAATTTACCTTTTACCCGATACTTTAACATTTCATCGAGCTTGAAGTTTGAAGTTTGCTGTAGAGCGGCCGGCTGGTGACTGATGTAAACAAGTATGGCGGCGCGTCGACTGCTGCGGCAGGGCTACCAATTGCGGTGTTGCCGCTGTGCGTCGGTCAAAAAGTTCTTCGAGATATCGGCGTACCTGGTACCTCACCAGTGGACGCGAGTACGAGTACGTTCTTAAAAGACAAGGCGCAACACGGGTGATATCGCTGACGAGTAAATCAGGAGCGGCCTTTTCACTTTACAATAATACTACGGTATTTCATGTTGGCAGTAAAAAGAGGACAGTCACACCCAAAAGAGCACCGCGTACATTATCCGCAATACTTAAATTTTGTTCAATACCATTTCTAAGGGATGAAAATTGCTAAATTGAGTACCAATCGTCCCCCCACCCCCCACATAACTTTCTCCAGTTTCTATACACTCCCCGTTAAAACATGGCTACTTCCGAACTCACTGTACTTGCTGTTCGGATTGTAGCGCCCGAACTACCTTAAAAATCCATCGCTCACCCACTTCCGAGATGGGGAACCCACTGCGCAAAGAACTCAAAAGTTGAAACACTCCAACCTAGGCGTGCACACTGCACGTGGATACAAGTTTGCGCTAACAACACTGGAAAAACAAGTACGACACAAAGTCACACCTCCTGTTATGCATTTTGCGGTCTCATTCCAGGTTTTGTAGAATACTTTCTATCGGAGTTCTTCAATTCCATATTCAATCGAACTATCAGATTCATCGTGAAGTTTCCTTTCAAGTGGTGAGGTGCCGAGCTGCAGTTTACTGAGCATGGTACAGGCCCAACACGTCCACGGTCAAAACGTCCACAACAGTAGTTGGGACGTATAAATGAATTTGCATTTATTTGCTATTTTTTGTGGGGGGAGGGGGGGGGGTCGGAACCCTCCCTATCACATGAAAGCTTGTTCGAAAGGAAATTAAAGCTCACTAAGAAACTATTCCACGAAAACGCACAGGTGGCACAGGTACATGTGCCCACAGAATCCCACAGAATGCATCAATTCAGTGTAAACTCGGTAATGACGCATGTCTAACACTGGGAGATAGGCGCGGTATGAGGTCCGGCGGACAGGGAAAGGGGGGGGGGGGGCTGAATTAGAGTAAAGAGTCATGCAAACGCCCAGGAGCGATATCATTGAATATCGCTCCCAGAAAGTGATATATCGGGTGCCCGATATCGCTCCCCCAAGGGAGTGAGATGTCTCACCCCTCCATTTTCAGTGTACATAAAGGGGTTTTGTAGCGCAAATTGCCTGCCTTTCAGGCGGCTCACTACAGACGGAGGGCCCCTCCCCCTTCCCCCTTTTATGCCGTGCCTGCCACTCCGCGTGTCATTCCATTTTGCCTGTAATTTCTATCTTCCCCCCAAGCACTTTAGTTTCATTTTCGATGGAACCATCGGATTCCTCGCGCAATTTTCCGACAAGACCAAGCCTGAATGGTATAGGGTTCCGAGCCCAAACTATTGTATCGTTCAAACGGGAATTCCGGGAGGAATCCGATGGTCGCGTAAGGGGACGTCCAGAAAGTATGTCCGTTTTTCTCAGATTCATTCGGCAAATTACAGAGCACGGCGCCTGCGAGGACTAGAGTAGGCCGACCCGCAGTACACGCATGCACTGCTGGCAAGATGTTGCCTACAGGCCAGGCGCTATGAGAGCTTGCAGCAAGGGCGAACTTGGCAGACTCGTCACGGCAAAAGACGGACGTACTTCCTGGCTGATCCCTAAGTGTGCACGCTGTACAACTCTTCTTTGTGTGTTACTTGTAAGAACACTGTCGAGTTTGCAGTGTTGTAACTGATTTTAAAGGATGCATGAAAAGCAACGGATCGGTGGTTTCTAGAAGTGCGCCCGTAGCCTCCGCCGTACCCATTCCCAAAGCCAAGGCAAAGGAAGCAGGAGCAGGGCTCGCATGCGCATCGGGCCCTGCTGTGGTGCCAACGTGGTCCTTGCAGGGCTTCACAACCCAGGCCTCCCTAGGGGCTAAGGGCCATGCCTTGGATCGCTTGTAGGGCAAAGGAAAGACCCACTGGGCGGGTGCACCCTCCCGTACGTGCATTACCCAATACAATAAGTATTTTCAAGTGGCACAGGCACGGGAACAAAAGACTTTGTTGCGGGAATCAACTTTGTTTGTTAGGTAGATTAAATTTGATAGCTGAAATCGATAAATTTACAACTTAGATTATAATTCGAGTTCACAAAAAATTTGTAAACTTACGAAGATATTTTTACAGTGTGTGTAACTAGCATGCACATGACGGCGTTCAACGCCACGGTTCATACATTTGGGTGTTGGACTGGGAGTTAGAATACTGTAAATTATGTGCTCAGTGGTAAATTTGAACACTCAAGTTGTTAAACGAAACTGATGAACAATTTTCAGTTTTCGAACATTAAGTCAAACACTTGAGAGTGAGCAACGTGTTGTTGTGCACTTGCATGACTACTTTGTTTATCAGTGTGGCGCGTAGAAGTCTCACAGACAAAGTCCTGCAATGTTACTTCTGTTCGCACAGCTATGCTCCAGCATGCGATGTGGCGGTCTCCGCGTGGCCGTTCGGCGCGTTTTGGTGCTGGTCTCGGCCATCGCCCTGATCCCCGCCATCCTCTTACTGATTGGCTCGAGCGTCACTAGACACCGCTACCAGGTAAGACAACTGGGCCACTCGGTCATTCATTTTCTCAAACATCTTTTTTATCATTCATTATCGTTATTACTACTCTACCTCCCATTCAAGCGTTCAGCTTTGTTGTCATATCACTACCACCTACCACCTCTAGAGTTAACATGCTCCAATTAGAAAGCAGCTCCATTAGTCCTTAGGGAAGGCCAATAAGGCGGATAATGTGATAGAGGCATTGCAAACATCACAATAAATGAAAAGAAGAGGCTAACAAAAAAAAAAAAAAAAAAACACATAGAAAGAGAACAGTGTAACAACAGCAATGCTTCAAAATTTCACACCACATTGGCCTTAGTTATTGCATAGGATGTAGACTAGTGTAAAAAAAAGTGAGAGCTCAAAAGAACAAATTTTTAGTAGGGCCCGAGGCTGTTCTGTGCAGTAGCAAAATAGAGTTTACCTTTTTAAACCTTTTAGGTAGAATAGAGAAAGTACGAAAATGCAACATTACATCTGACAAAGAATGACAAAAAAATAGTTACATTTTAGAAAAGCCAAATGGGCAGGAAATGTTTCACATAATTATTTTTGTGGAAAAAAACAAAACAAAGAAAGAACTGATTTTGCTTCCAGGATGTACAGTACACTGGACAGAAATTGGCAGTTGATGGGGTAAGAAGATGCAAAATGAGTGTTTGCTTGTAGCTGGGAAGTGTGTGGCCAGAGTCACAAAAAGGAATGTACTTCTTGGCACATAGAGCTTTCCATCGGTCTATGCTTAACTGTATTTAAACATGTATTTTTGATTGATGAATCAGAATGGAAGCAAAAATCATATTGTGAATAATAATAGAGTTTGGTCTTTAGAAAAAACTAATGCATATTACTACTGCTGCAAAATTGTCATTCTGCTTCTTTCTTTTTTAAAAAAATTCGCACTCCATTCTACATGTGGAATGAGCGCAATGCTACTTTTAAATATTATAATATTATACAACTTTGCTTTGTATTTAGTGGTTGTTTTTGGATTTACAACAGTGGAATGTTTTGTATTGAGTGTGTCACTGTGTCTGGCTATGCACTAGGACCCTTCTTCTTTAGTTCCAGTTCCAGTTCTGCTCTTTCTCTCTCTCTCTCTCTCTCTCTCTCTCTACCTTGCTCTTACATATTTCAGCTAGTTTCTGGTGTCTGAAAATCATTTGTAAAATTTCTGGGATTGTTGCTTTGAGTTGTGTTAGAAGTGTATTTAGCATGTGAACTGATACTGCAGTTTATTTGAATGATTATTAAAACAAACTATTAAAAATACCACAACTGCTCATAGCTAGGTACTAATTTGCATAACCTGCCTTACAGTTTGATGGGTTGTATGGGACTTGGGGCCCAGGTCCCGATCCAACATGGATGTCACGGATGGCCATCAGAATGGCTGCTCGCAGAGCAGAACTCCGTGACGCATGTGCACGTACAGGGTTAGATGTGCCCAACAACGATTCCCTACACCAGGCTAATCCTTGGGAATTTCTGATAAATAATCAACACCACCTTGTGTGGTGTAATGTTTTCAAGGCAGCTTCAACTTCATGGATGTATAATTTTAATATCTTAGCGGGATACACCCCTCACTTCTTAAAACAGAGCAAGGTGAGGTACAAATTAAGGAAAGAATTGATATGGGTCTTCCAACTTACAATCATTGAAAAGAATTAATCACTATGTATGTTTTTCCATCTTTCCTTAGGTTGTACCACTACAATTAGCACGGCAGAGATATCCAAGGCCCTCAATAGAAACTCTGCGTGAGGCTTTGAACTCATCCATCTCTTTTATAATAGTGAGACATCCATTGGAACGTCTACTGTCAGCATACAGAGACAAAATACAGTACTCATTGCCACACACACTTCATCAGAGGTTGGGTTTGAAAATAATCCAAAACTACAGAACACGAGTTAAGGTATCAGATGAAATGCAATAAATTTTGACAATATGTAGGATTTTAGGGCCATTTTTATGATGAGATTGATACACTTAATAGGGAGGTGCTGGGAGCCGAGATCCAACTAAAAAGAAACGTGCCTCACCCAAGTGGCCAACATTTTCAGAGTTTGTGCATTATTTATTGGATGAATATAAAGAAGGCAATCGATTTGATATGCACTGGGCTCCAATTGCAGAATTTTGCACACCATGTCACTTGCACTTCGAACTAATTGCAAAATTTGAGACACTGGAGGTGAGAAAGCAGATTGACCTTAAAAATGGAAAAGCTGACTTCTGAGCCGTAAATGATGTTAATATCACGATGAAATTTATTACAGGAAGATCAAAATTATTTGATATATAAGGCCAAGCTTCAAGATTTCATTCACCCTGAGTGGAAAAATCCAGCAAAAGGAAGAACAGCAACAACAAATCTAATAAGTTCCCACTACTCCCAGCTTACAAAGAAAGAAATACTGCACCTTTACAATATATACAGGTAATATGTAGTACTTTTTCTTTCAAGAAACTTTGTTCACATACGTCCACATGGTCTCAGAGGGGTCTCAAAAACGAAAAGTGGCATGTGTTTAGTGTGTAATTCTATATCTGTTAGAGAGAATATCTCCATAAACACACGTTTGTTTGTTTTTCCAGGTTTGATTTTGAACTGTTCGGGTATTCCTTGGAGGGGTTTTTAGACCAAGGTTTAGAGGATCCAACCTCTTCCCCTAGTGCCTCAAAAGCTCAACACAAAAACTTCCAACTGACCAAATTGCCCATTCCATAAACTGAATATGGTTTCAGTGCAGGAAAAATCCCACCGCAAAAACTACTTGCCCAAAGAATCTATCGGGTGCTAGTACAAAAACAGCAGAGTCCAATGTTCCAAAGTCTTAATCACTGAGTGTTACAACTTTTGACACTTGGTGAAAGTTATAGGCGGGTTTTTGATCATAACTGATCAGCAAATGTGAGCTGTAGGTATTGTGATCTCGATGGTGCTTGAATTTGACTCCTCGTATTCATTTTTCATTGCATGAAACTTGGTATGTCAATGCAAAAGGGCTTCCAAATTTGACCATATTTAAATTTGTTCTTAGTAGTACTGTTATGTAGTTTATAAAATTTTGTAGATAGTTTCAAAATCAGCTCAAGTAATTTAAATATTCTTGGTCTTCATGTATACTTATAGAAAAGGGAATGGATGATGGGAGATTTTCCATGAGGTGTATTGAGGTTTGTATTTTATAGAATGATTTGGATGTTCTAGGGCTGTTATTGGAGGAAATGTAGTATAGCATGTATCCAAAACGGGAACGGTATTGTGAATGCAAGAAATTAGTTCGGGACCAAATTGAAAATAAGATTACTGCATAATGTCTACAGTGCTAGAAGGGTGACAGTAATTCAGCCAAGAGATCATGAACATGAACTAGAAATTTGGGATGAAGGGTAAAGTGAGTAAATAATCATCCCTAAAATTGATACACTTCTCTGTACAATCAGGAAAATGCTTTCCTACATCTTGAAGAGCTAACTGATTTGTAATATTATGTTATGTAATCTTGCTCCGTCTCAAAATTTAAGAACATGTATTTTTGAAATGATTGTAACTTAATAATCATATCATGTTAAGGCATACAAATTTTGAAACCTGTCCAACTCTGTTAAACTGTAGTTTTAAACATCTATTAGAACTTACAAAACCCTGCGCAAGGTTGGTTATTCAGAAGCACTTTTCCTATTTTGGTGGATTTTGATCTAGATGGCACTTTCAAAGACTACCTATCTTTTCAAAACTGTCAAATTTGAAAAGTTAATGGAGAATATTTTAAGGAATATTAAAGTAAGAACAAAATGGTTGAGTTTTGAAGTAGTGCATTTTTTGTAGCTGCACATGAAGAATGTGGTAAGTTTGGTAGGTCTGTGTGCAGCTTGACTGAAAACTTTTGCAATCATCTTTTTTCCATCAAACTAAAAAAATGTAGCATTCATTAATTATAGCTGTATTTAGTGCTAACAACCATTCACTGTGTTAAAGATCCTTTTCCACTCATAATTAAAGTATTTGGTTTCAAGAGCTACCAAGCAGCCAAGCTCTCAAATAGTTGTCAAAGAGCTTGATTACTCCTAACCCGGTTTATGAAACCAAAAAGTGTGACTGTCTCCCGCAATGAAAATATGAAATTTTTAAAATGTACAAGGAGTATTTAAGAATTATTAATACTGGAACAGCACTTACTTGGAACTGTTGTTCTGGATATTGCATCCAAGGATCCATTTCCTATCAAGCAGCCTTTGCCATGAATTGCTTACTAAAATTGAATTCTTATTTAAATTCTTGTTTGTTTTCCTTAATTGTGCTGATGAGTTGCCCATAAAAGTAACTAGCTGAAAAAGAAGTAAAAGCTGATGAGCGAATGGAATATAAAAGAAATATGCCAGACATTTTAATACAGTATTTTCTTACGTCACTTTCTTGCTGAGGTACATCACAATTATCTGTACCCAAAATGTGAAACATACAGTGTTTCCTCATCCTTCTCTTTCCCTCCAGCTGCTTGCAGACTTTGTCAACACTAAATTTTAAACTCTGAGTACAAAAGAAGAAAGAAAATAAAAATAAAGAATGAATAAACGCTTATTTTTTTTAAAAAAATGCATCAAGAAAACAATTTTTTTTTGTTATGCAAGGAGCTTTTTGTAAAATAGAATCTCTGTTGAAAAATTTACCTTTAATTTGGTACTAAGTACATTTTCCACGGGATTTGTTGATGATGAAGCAAATGATGCAGTTAGATCGGTTACACAGAAACTTTCCTCACTACCTTTCCATAGGCCCAACTGCGGGACACCCTGATTGCGGAAGTCACTTACTTCAAACTTGATCACATCATCGAATGTGTGAGTTACCTGCAAAATTAAGCGATCAAACAATTTACAATTGTTTTGACATTTGACTGTCAAGTGTCAAATGCTACTTGCCTTAAGCTGTGATAAATGAGATACCACTTTAACCACTGATTCGCATTGCAATACATAGTGTTTACAAAAAGGTTGGTATGTGAAAAATATAGCAATACGGCTGACAGCTTGGGCACCAACATCACAAAAACCAATCACTCGGCCACAGCGTAATAGTATGAGGCCTTCATTTGGAACACACGCAACAACATCTGAAGAGTAGGGGACAAAAAAAATTTAATTTGTTTATTTATAAAGAAGTTAAAGAATCGTCTGAAAAAATTTACAAACCTGTATCTTGAGATGAATAGTCAACAACATAACAAGTAGTCCCTGGTGGGAGTTTAGAGCCACAGATTGATTCATCCATCTATTAAAAATTATATTTGATTAGAAAATTGAGATTTTAAATAATATGAATGCAGACGCCCTGAGAGAAAGCTTCGATAGGTAATCTAAACATTACATTTTCCACACATTATGCCATAACCTTGCCTCACACACTACTGATTCGAGCTGTCATTAGAATACTAGATTAGTTAGCTGACTGGAAGAACAATGGAAACCAACGGAAGTATCCGGAATGCTATAAATTTTGCAGTGACAGCTAGTGATAAAAGTTTTATCAAATGGGTAATTTACATTTGAGGAACTTCGACGTTCAGAGTGCAGATCATCTCATAAAAGTTAGCGGACCGTTAGGTCAGTTGGTTTTGGCAACACACACTAAAAGCTTAAACGTACACACTAATTACTTAATAGTGGAAAAGGCAAAACAGTCTACAATGGAACACCCAAAAGAATTCATCAGAATAAAAATCTACCTTTGTGCTTTGAAAATCCCGGCTCCCGAACTTGCCCATACACAACATTGACGCTTGTGGCGCTCCCTATCGCTTTCCGGCCTCATCACAAAACACAAGACGCGGGGTAACGACGCACTATGGCACATACGGTGCTGCTCTCGCGTGGCTCTTTCCCATACTAGTGTTGTTGTTCAATATTTTTGACGATTGAGTACCTCCGTTCTTTAGAAATAGGACAAAAAATGTTTTTAACTCCTAGATTAAAAATATAGAAATCTACACGAATTTGAATAATTCAAAATTTGTGATGGGCTCTGAAGCAGTTTAAACTCAAAAATTAGCTCGCGCTGAACACTCCGTACTGCTTCATAATGCCACCCTCCGCAGCAAATTTACAGTTGTCTTTGTTGGAAGGTTACTCCTTTCAATTTTTTCGTGACGGCTGTTTTCGGACAGCCAAATAAATCAATCTAATCTCGATCATTATTCTACGCACCCGCTGTGAATGTGTGAGTAGAGTGCAGTGGTGCTTGCGCGGGAGTGAGTGTGTGTGAGGGAGAGAGAGAGGTCATGTGAAATGTGATCACATGCTGGTGGTGTTGGTGACCACGCAAGCTTCAAAATTGCAGATTGAAGGAAAATGTGTACACATACGCATTTAGCAAGGGGTCGAAATTCGTCCCTTGCCATTTCAGGTGTTAGCACCATGAACGTTTCATGAGTTCATGAGGCGATGCTTATATGACAGCGCCTGCGACGCGCTGAGTAGGCTAACCCGCCAAGCAGCTGTGTGAAGTCGGTGGCCCGCCCGGAGTGGGCCTCGGGCACTGTAATGTTTGACGGTGGGGGCACCTTTAGAGTTTTGACGTTGACTGACGCCGTGAGACAAGAACGTTAACGTTTGGCGTAGCTGTGGAAAAACTGCGCAGTTCAATTAAAAATAGTTTTATTTTTTTAAAAACACAATACAAATACAGATGATGACATGATGTGTTTTCATGCTTCCTGCTGTCAAATTTTGAACGGCAGGTGCATCTCTTATACTCTAGAATTATGGCAAATGAAACAATGGTGACAGTTCTGACGATGTCTAAAGGAATGCGAGGCTCGTTTCGGTCAGAAAGGACATGTTTTGTGATGATAATGATTGATGGTCATGATGCTTAAAGTGATGATGAAGATGAAGATGATGATAATGATGTCAGTTAAATTACCAAGATACATGACGAAAATGGGTAGTCTTTGACAGTTTGCGGAACTTATTCGTTATTCCGTGTCTGTCCCCCTCCTGTCACAGAATGGACGCAACAAGGAAAGGTGGTCTTCTTAACGCCTCCGGTATAAATTAAACAAAAAAAAAAAAATCGACGGCTGCGTTTGGCAACAGTTAATGAGGCAACCTGTTTCCCAACGCAGCCAAACATTCTCCGTTTTCAAATTAAATTAATTAACACATTAAGATCATGCGTAAAGCTACAGGCCAGCGTTAACGCGACTTGAGCAAAAACGATGTTTGTCTTTTGGCCTAGACTCTGCTCGACAATGAGGTACGTTGCTGGAGACTGCGGGGCGATCCGCTTCTTCCTATCATGAGGATGACACTCCTACGTCAGATCGAGACTAGATTCGACTTCTCTCGCTGGTTCATGCATCCGTTTGAACTTTTTCCAGCGCCAGGAGACGACCGGAGCCCGCAGAAGCACTCGCAGTCTCCTGTTTTTTACATTCTCCCCCGCCCACCCTCCGTCCACTTGCTTCACGACAGCGACGTCCTCGCGTAGCCCGAGCTAATGGCGACCTGGGGCATGTCCTCCTGGGCGGCGATGGACGTTCTGAACAGGGCGGTCACGGGGTCAGAACCGGCGCCTTCCAGGTCGCCGGCGACGTCGTCGTTGACATCAGATCGTCTCTGGAGGAATCCCTCTGGCGGCGCGACGCGGACCTCCTGAAAGAGCAAGAACAAGAGAAGTGAGTCGAGTCCAGTCCCCGCGGCCCGGAGGGCCAGCTTGGCCTGCTCTGCACGAGCCACCGCACGCACCTGTCGACTGGACGCCGCCGTCTTGGGCTCCGTCGCGTCCTGCTCGGCGGCCTCCCCCTCGACGTCCACGCTCTCGAGGTCCTGGCTCAGGGCGTTGCTCTCCGCCACCTCCACGAAGGACGTGCTGAGCTCGCCCGTGAGCCTCGACACCTCGTCCGAGCTCGCGTCGTACATGAAGATCTCCTTGTCCGGCTGCGCGTCCGCCTTGCTGTCCCCAGTCGGGCTGCAAAAGTAAAAGGAAAATTGTCAGTTAGCGTGGCGGGCCAGAGATCTCATTTATTGGCGATAGCTAGTGATTTCCGGCTTGTTCCAAAATGAAGTATTTGTGACTGCCTTGTATCAGCAAACGAGGGGAGAAATTATTAGAAAATCATTGTGTTGAAAAGTGGCCATATTTTTAGGTCACCAGCCGTCATATCGCTTCTGCAACATTTATTTCTCTAGAGGTGTATGTACGCAGTCCCCGCGGGGCGGTGGCGCCGCGTACGCCTTTGCCGCCGCCACCGTATTGCGCGAACATCTCCCCCTTCTTCGCCTCCTTTCTTTCGCGTCCATTTCTATCCTTCCGGGTCGCCGCCGGCCGCGCCGCCGCTTTGGAAAGAGATACCAGTGCCGATTTGCGGCCCCGACCGTTTCCGAAACACAACGAACGGTTTCGGGCCGGCCTCGTTTGTTCCCAAACGACGCTCCTTGCCGCGGCGCGAGATTTCGAAAACCTCCCTAATTATTCTCTGTGCGCGCCGAGTCCGTCCGTCCGTCACGGCCTCCGACCTTTTGAATCATCCTCCATAAGTTACCGTTCTCTTTGTTATAACGTTACGAACCCCAGGCGCCCCCAGGCCGCGCCGCCGGCACAATCACGAGCCCTCCTTTCTACTTTTTACGCACGTTGTTGTTTTATTATTATTTTCTTCTCCGTCTCTATGCGCGCCTTCATTAGCTCGTAATCAACGACCTCTCGCGTTTGTTCAATGTGCTGGATTCGCGCGCCCAGCGTATGCATGACGCTAGTACTAGAGGTGCTACTAGAGAGAGTGGCGACGCGGCGCAGGTAAAGAGCGCGTTGTGGGGCGGGTGCGGGTGTTGGCTCATTCTGTTAGGAGAATTCCCGGTGAGAAATCAAAATCGATGTGACATCGAATTGACATCAAATAGATGTCAGTTATCGGAAATGTCTCGATTTTAAGACCATCTCAGGATCGATTCGACAAGATAATCGACAATTTACCGACAACGATATCAGTCTGACATCATTTCGATGTAACTGTTTCTCACTGGGATTGGTATTTCATTTCTAATTTTCGCTGGTTGGGAGGTTGAGAGGTTCCTTGAAGTTCAAGACCCAGTCTTGGATGTCAATGGCCTTATCCATAACATCCAAAGCCGGGTCTTGGACTTCAAGGAACTGTTTTTAACCGCGCGGAGCCTGCGGTCAAGTGGCTGCGTTCGACAAGAGGACGGCCGCAACTTTCGGTCACATTTTGGCCCTGACCCGTAAATCCCCGTCGGTACCGCACGCATGCGTTGTGTGCACGAGTTGCCCACTCTTGTGATGTTCAAACGGTCGCACCGACTGGGTGAGGCGGATCGGCCGAGCTACCGCAAACTGCGTGACTAGTCTGTCACTCATCAGAGGCCGTTACACCGTCACATGCGCCGTGTGACGAGCCCCCCGACACTCGGCAGCAGCCTCCGGCCGCGAGGAGGGCGAGGAGGCCGCCACTCGCAGCCCCGCTCACTTGCATATTCACACGACAATCAGCGCGCCGCCGCCGCCAACGTCAAAGGGCCTTCCCTCCCGGGCTGCGCGCGGGGCCGGCTGAAGAAAGCGGACACCGGAGGGCACCGACTGCAGGGCGGTAATTCGTCTCATTAGAAGCCACCGCTGGCCACAGACGCGCGCACGGCCGTGTGTGAGTGTGTGTGAGTGTGAGTGTGTGTGTGTGAGAGTGTGTGTGCGCGTGCGTGCGTGCGGTGTGTGTGATGGGAGGGCACGGGGAGTGAGTAGACAAGCCGGCCAGTCACGACGATGACTTCTCGCAATAAAAGCCCTCCTGCCCGCAAGCCTCTCGGCTCTTCCTACTATCGCTGAAGCGCGCCGCGCCGCGCCCGACAGGTGGCAGACCTGCCCCGGCTCTGCCCGGCTCTGCCCGGCCCCGACTAGCCCCGGGGGGGTTACAGGTACGGGAGGAGCCACGGCGCGAGTTACGTAAGTTCGACAACGACCTATGACGGCGAGCGGAGGGCACGCACCTGGTGACGAGGAGGATGACGGACTGCTTGGCGAGCGGCTTGAGCCGCTCCTGTTGCAGCCAGAGGCGGTAGTTCTCCTGTGTCGGCGTCCGCACCAGCTTCTTGAGGGCGTCGCCGGCGACGAAGCGCACGCCGTGCACCTCCACGGCGCGGCCCACCCGCCCGTCCTCGGAGGTCTCCGCGTTGGCAGCGTCCTGGAGGAAGTCGTAGTCGACGGGCGCCAGGACGACGACCGAGGTGACGTTGCGGCCGCGGAGCAGCGGCGCGTCCGGCAGCGGGAAGGTGGCGCCCGAAATCTGGAAGACGATCGGAGCTCCGTAATGTCAAAGTGACACAGTCACGGCCAGGGAGGCGCTGCTGCTGCTGCTGCACAGTCTCAGCGGGGGCCGCCCACCCGAGCCCGCCCGGTGCGTCTGGGAAAGTGAAAGTCTCCAGGACTTATTTATGAGCATTTCTGGGAATCGTGCGAGGAGTCCACCTGAGTCCACCACTCTTTACACAATTCCTCAATCACCAAAGAGAACTTTTTACCCAGATGAAACATCATGTTCAGAGGAAACAATACACCTCTGTTCGGAAAACGAGCAGAATTTCGTTTCCTCCGTTTAACATGATAGTTAATTTGTTGAAATTTGAATAGAAAGCAGTATCAGTGTTTTAATATTAATTGAAAAAAATGTGATAGTTAAAAGTGGACATTATGTTTCTCTTCCCTTACCTTGAGTGGCAGGTACCGGTTGTAGCGATTGTCGTTCAAGACGACGGGATCATTGAGGACGGCGGCGTCCTTCTTCAGGTACTGGTCGGCCACCTGCTGGCCCTCTGCAGTCGCTGGGTCGTAGCGCACCACCTACAAAATAATACACGTTCTCTCACATGACACAAGTACGCTGAATATCAGATTCGTGATTATTTTCTTCTCTTCGTCGTTCCGGTGTCTTACCTTCATCTCCACGTTCGAGGCCTGTGCGGCTGAGCCCTGTGGGGCTGCGGCCTCCTCCACTACCTCGTCGAGTTCAGACGCGGACGGCTCGGCGTCGATCGGTGGCAGCGCGGCTCTGGGCGGCGGCGCCACCACGACCGGGCGCACCTCGGAGGCGGCGGCCTGAGACCCGCCGCCGTTGGCATAGAAGTTCTCCAGGGCGTGCTGGGGCAGGGAGTCGATGGACGTGTCCCCGATCTTGTCGTAGTCGAGGATCTGGATGTCGGCGTTGCCCAGAATCCCGGATGAGATGAGCTGCTCCCGGATGTCGTCCGGGACCTCGTCGGGCAGCTCGGCCAGCTTCTTGGTGAGGTCGATCTTGGGCTCCTCCGTCGTTGGAGCGGCGGGCTGCTGTGGAGGCTCCTCCGTTGTCGTGGTGGTGGTGGTCGCGACGGGCCTTGGCGGCTGACGCGGTGCTGGGCTGGCGGTGGTCGAGCTCGGCGTGAGCGAGAACGCGGGCTGCGGCGAAGGCGTGACGAAGCCGTTGTCGGACGAGTAGCTGGGCGTGGACGAGGAGAAGGTGACGCGGGGACCGTCCTGGTCGCTGTCAAGCACCTGCACGCTGTGCTGCTGCTGGTGCTGCTGCTGGTGCTGCTGCTGGCGTTGCTGCTGGTGCTGTTGCTGTGGCTGCTGCTGCTGTTGCTGTTGTTGACGCTGTTGCTGATACGATTGCTGCTGCTGCTGCTGCTGAGGGATCTGCTGTTGCTGCGAATGGGTCAGTGTGTGTGAGACAGTCTGTCCCTGGCCGAAGGGGCCCTGGCCTCTGTTGAGCAGAACGTGCTCCTCAAGCTGTGGAATGGACTTGATGATCTCGGAGCCCAGCACAGTCTCTCTCTGAGGCTGCAGCTGCTGGTGTTGGTGGGATTGGCTCTGCTGTGAGTTGAACTGCTGTTGTTGGATCTGCTGTTGATGTTGTTGTTGGTGGGCGAGTGTCTCTGGCTGGCTGGACGGCTGCGGAGCAAACTGCTGCTGAGGCTGGGCCTGCTGGGGGGTGTACTGGGGCTGATGTTGCTGGGGGTGTTGATGAGCGTGTTGCGAGGGGTGTTGCTGTGGGTGTTGTTGGGGATGTGGCTGGGGATGGGGCTGCGTGAGCTGCTGAGAGTACTGTGGAGGCTGTGGTTGGGGATGCTGCTGAGAGTACTGCTGAGGCTGCTGAGGTTGCTGCTGGTGGTTAAACTGACCGTGCTGCGCGGAGAACTGGGGCTGTTGCTGACCGCGAATCTGTTGTTCCTGTTGCTGCCTGAGCAGGGCCTGCTGTTGCTGCTGCTGCAGGAGGACCTGCTGTTGGTGGCGCTCTCGCAGGAGCTGGTGCGCCTGCGGCCGCTGCTGCTGCTCCGGCTGCGGTGCGTAGGGCGGGAACTGCGGCTGCGCGGCGCCCGGGGGCGGCGGCGGTGGGTGCTGGAAGGCGGGCCTAGAGGGGTGCTGGGCGCTGGGCACGAAGGGCGGCTGCGGCCGGCTGGGGGCGGCGCTGGGCGCCTGCTGCTGGGGGAAGTAGTTGGGCCGGAAGGTGTCAGCCGCGGGCTGCTGCGGCTGCTGGAAGGGCGGCCGCTGCGGCTTGTCGCCCGGGCCGGGGATCCTCGGCCGGAACGGCTCCTGGAACGGGCCCTGCTGCTGGGCGTAGGG